GTAGGTATATGTCTTTTTGTGAGACGTTAGAAGCTTAAGGGCTTATAGACTAAAGCGACAGTCCCACTCCCAAAGATCTTACTGCAACATCCAGTTTGAAGATGAATATTGAGACAGAGCAAAATATTTGCTGGTGCACTTCCCAACACAATGTGATGGCCTCATTTGGGTTTTTTCTCCTCCTCATACACTTCTTTGTTGACAAGTCTTGAAGGAAAGGCTAGCTTTTACAGGCAGTTTGGAAGAAGTGTACTTAAAACATGGACTTGAATGAAAAGAGGGTGTAGTGGACAGGCCAGAAGTGGTGACCCTTGCCAATACAGTGTTGACACGTGAGAGGACACAAAGAAGATGGTAAATACAGAGGCAGCAGCATAGATCTATATTATTAGAGAGGCCTACAAAATCTGCCTACATACTTAACGAAAGGCTCTTCCGTAACAAAAGGGTAAAGCTGGTTTGTGAGATTTCATCTGTCATATCCCAGACACTTTCCAATTTTGTTACTCCGCTTCTTTCTGCCCCAGTGACAAAGTATAGCTTTGGAATACAAATCAATTTGAAATACCAGAAAAAGCCCATGAAAAAAACTTGAGAAATGTGGTTTGTGCAATCTCTTATTTTGCACATATTTAATTATTTTTAAACTACAATTCTGTGAAATCAAATCTCAACTTCATGCATTCCTTCTAGAAAAGAAAAATACTTCACAGAAAGGACTGACAATGCAGAAAGGAGAGAAACATGCTTTCTCTCCTTCTCACTGAATCAAGGTACTTGTTAGTTTAAGCTTATCATAGGTTTAAATGGCCCTGTGATAGGCTTAAAGCTAACATTCACAAATTAAACTTGAAGTGGTAATCGCCTGCATTCAGACAAAGATGAGAGAACAAATTCAGCGCTAATTAAAAATTCTCTCAATGGAGAATGTTAAACTGTTAGTGTTACGATTTCTGTTTCACAGTTGTCTGTATTCCTCTGTTATGACTGATCCTTCCCCAATTTGATGTCAGAAGATGATACTAGCTGTATTTTTAAACAGCTAGCAAAGGAGATTTTCCCTTTCCTTTTCATGCCTTTTCTCCAGTTCTATCATTGCCTGTAGTCTCAGATTCATGTCAGTATCTGGTTCTTCACTGTATACTGAAGTTGCAAAACAGTAAACTCCACTGTTCTTGTCAGTATTTTTTTCTTGGTATCTAACACATATATCTTCTCCACTAAGCACATCTCTCCTTTCTCCCATTTATTGTAACATCTTTTCCCATAATGTACTACAAGCCAGTAAACTGAGAGATCTACTACCAGGAAGGATATGTATCCTAGTAGAATGTAATAATAATTTAGAATATAATCACAAGAGATTACTACAGATCGATGTACTGGACAGCTAACAAGCACATGCCTGCAAACTCTGTAACACAACAGTTGCAATGTTCCCACTGATATCTCCAAAACCAAGCTGAAAGGGACATTTGCTATTCTGAATAATTGATGGGTTTGGCTTATTACTATTGTAGGTCCAAAGCACAGATACATGGGAGATCAGTCATTCTAACCTGATGGAATGCCAGGCATAATTATGGGTGCCCTCAAAGTTCCCTACAGCATTTAGGATGTTGGTTTTCATTACCATGGGATTTCACAGGTATTTTACTTTGGGGAAAAAAAAAATATTACTAACTTTCTATGGCTTCTGAGATATTAAAGAAAATACCACCAGACTGCAATACAGTCCTTATTAGTTGTTTCTGCACTTGACGGTGATGAGTTTGATGAGTAGCAAAAATACTCATGAGATGTCTGTCCTTCAAGACCTCTAAAATGAGCTTGCTCTAGACTGTGAGATGCTTTATGTGCATTTAGTGGTATGGAAGGCTCTCTGCTCCCTCAAGACATATTGCAGCCTGCCTGACACAATTCTGTTTCCTTCTGTCATTCTTCCACTTCCACCTTTTCTCCTCTGACCGTTCTAGATTTGTGGAACACCCCTTTCCTTGATTTTTGGAGAGGTATGAAAATCAGTTCCATTTAAATCCTGTTCAACTAACTGTTTCAATAAGTGTACATCAATAGCCCAAACTAGGAGAAAAATCTTACCTGCTTAAATTTTTCATGCAAATGCCCATAAATATTTATCACGATTAACCAAGCAGCTTCTTTAATATAATTTATAGGCTTTTATTTTTTAATTATAGTAAGAAAATTTGTCTTGCACAGTACTGATTGTATTGTTATATAATAACTTGCAGCTTAAATGCTACATGCCACTTATAAGGAGAAAGGATTAATTAGACGAAGCTCAAAACACATGAAGAAATGGGCTTTGTTCTAAAGTGGTCATAGGCTTAGAAGTACTGCACATCTTCATTGTGTATAAGATTAAAAAAATTATTTAAAAGAGCTCTACACAAAATTTTCCTGGAGAGAAGGAAGGAATGGGGCAGTTGAATCATTCCAACTGCTCAACTCTTACTGTTTGCCTCTGAAGCTAATGATCTTCCCTCTCACTTACTGAAACTATGCTATATGGCTGTAGTGCAAGAACTAGACTGGATTTTAAAAGGAAAATGAAGAATGTACTGCTGCTTCTTTATGTTTTTGAAGCCTTCAATAGGTACTGGTTTCCAAATCACTTGGGGACTTGGTGAGAATCACTTCCTATTTTTAGATCAAAAGCCATCTTGAAAATACAATCAGGAAAAATGTTTCAGTGCTTATCAGAAGAGCTTCTGTTTCTTAATGACAGCAGAAACAATGGAAGGATTTCTTCAGAATACAGAGTTTCAAGAACCAGTCTATGGAAAGATGCTGTGGAAGTCAGGGTGATCTTGGATAGAGCTGGATGTACTGAGAAAGCCTGCGTTGACTGTACTCCATAGAAACACAAAGAAGTTGAGACAACATCTGGTAACAGCTGACATTATGATCAACTACTGCCTTTGTACCCATTTCACCTCTTTTGATTGATAGGTTTGCTCTAGGTGGATGTCCTGATTACCAAACCTGGAGACTACAGAAATGAGGATTACTGTGGCTAGTCCTGCATCTAACGACAGGGATGCAGTCTTTCACTTCAGTTACACCTGGCCACCTCATTGCCACTGATGCCTATGTACTTCCATAGCCCCAGAAAGCCATAAATAACCTCCAGTTTGACTTCAGGCTACACATGTGAGTAAAGAAGTAAGTAGTGGCACGCAGCATTATCAAAATGACTTTTTACTTGTGCCTGGGGTCCGTCTGTAAGCAACTGTTCTCCATACCTCTTGCAATCACACAGGCACTGAATGTGCTGGAGATGATTCTGTTTAAGCTTCATTTAAGAGAGCTCTAGAGCTGGATACTGCCTGTGTACTGGTGACATTTGTGGCAGTTTCGTCTCTTTTCACTGGCTCAAATCTATGTATGGATATTGTGCAAGTATCAGCTCTCTGCTGCCTGACTCCAGGGCATATTTGCCCACAGAGTTCTCTGGTTCTGCTCCAAGAATACAGGATGTGAATCAGCACAACAAGGTCAAACCTAACATGATGCTGGGAGTGGAGTGGGACCATGTCACAGACTGCTGAAAGGGACAATTTCAGGGTGCTCCTCCTAACAAAAAGCACTCTCTCTTCCATATGTCTTCTGACAAGGAGAACACTGCTCACGAAAGGCCAGTTAATGTTTCCAGTCTAAAGTGTCCTCCGTTATTTCCTCAGTTCCCTCCCTCTGCCCTCCACACAGACCTAGCAGATCCTTGTGTTACCAGATGTAAGAGGCTGGCGTGCTTTATACTCAGTGCTGTGGTTCCAGTTCCTCAGAAATCAAAGCAAGGAATTGAGACAGTGTCACATTTGCCCAGTAACAGGAAAGGAGTGTATGTGCTGCGATGGAAAGGATTTGGTAATATCAACCTCTTTGCCTCCCCACATCTGCCAAAAGACCAAGCAATGTTCTCAAACCAAAATAAGACCTAAAAATGTAACAAGATTACAACATTCGGGTAATAGGTTTAGCACAGCACATACAGTAAGGCAGAAGGTCATGCTGAAAGTACTAAAAATCTAGATTTTCCAAGTGTACAGATAGATGAAAATATGTCAAAACCCGTCCCACATTGGGACCAATGGGATCAAAACATGCTTTTAAGTCAGTTACAGTCAGACCGTTTTCAGTTACTTCTTTCTTAACACCCCTCCCACAACTCCCAGCCCTTTGAGATTCAGAGAGGATGTTCTGAGTCACCTTTTTTTTGCCATTAAGGTCAAACAGAGTCCACTGCTTTTTCCAACAGATATGGAAACAGGCTCCCAATTTTCATCTTTCTTACAACATTAACACTAGAGAGCTACATGCCACCAAGCAGCTTCCTAGTAGGTACCCATCTTCAACTCTCAGTTTGAAGATCCAGATGTGCCCCAGATCATGTCTCAGGTGTATTTTTAAAAACATTTTCCCCTTCTTTCTGGTCTCTGCTGGTGCACTCCTAGTTGCATTCCTGATTTGCTTCCCTTTTACACCATGGCTCTGAGCTATCCATCTGCAGTCTCGTTTTTAGAGCAGTATGTCTGCACAGATGACTTGCAGACATCCCATTCAATCTCTGGTCTTTTCAGTCCATTCAGAATAGGCCCTTTCACGTTTTCCTCCAGTCTCTCTCTTGATAACCCATGGACAAACCTATCACCTGAACCCAAATTCACACTGGGTGGGGGTGGGTGGGAGGAGGAGGGGAACCCAAACAAAACTGAAAACCCTGTTCTTGCTTAAAATGGGCAACTACTGTATTTTCCAGATTTGTAAGTCAACACAGGGTTGTGTTTGCCAATTCCTCTCCTCAGTTCCACAAACATCATTGCTAAATTAGGTGAATTTAACCAAAAGAAAGGATATGGTCTCCTACTGCTGCATTCATAAAAGATCCAAACCAATCACTGGAAAAGTGCATGCTGATATTATGTATGTATAGTAGGCATACCCAACATGCATTTATTTTTATTAAATGTGTAGCTTACCTTTCTGCCCATGACGACTGCTAAATTTATCTCCTATTTCTGGACGTCTAGTTTGCCTCAACAACATTTTGATCAAGAAAGCATCCTCTGCATTTGACGAAATCATTACTTTTTCAATATAAGAATCAGTCGCACCTTTGTAGCTAGTACAAGAAACAAAACTTGAGTTTTATATCTATGAACCAAACATAAGTTACAAACATGTATCTGTGTATTGATAAGCTTCTGGCTAAACTGTAGTTTTCATGGAACTTATATATGGGAGGCCAATGGAGCAAAGATTATATATATATAAAAAAAGCTCCAGAGTACGGTATGTTTCTGGAAAAGAAAAAGCTTAAGAGATACAACAGAAACAAAGGGAGAATTAAGCTGACCTTGTAAAGAACAAGGTATATTTTTTTGTCACGTGGGCTCTTCTTGATGGAAAAAAGCTTCCTAGTGTATTGCAAATTTCTGGATCTTCAGTTAAATGAACAAAAGCCAAACAGAGAGTTATAGTTGAAGAATGCAGCTTAAGGAACACACCATCAGAATTTAAGAACAAAATTAAGGCATAATATCCCAATTGAAACTATGCATCAGGTACAGGTGTGGAAATGAACCAAAGGCAGAACATAGCATGAGGTACAGAAAGAGATGAACTCTAGAGTATGAGATGTGGAGATTTTGGAAGGAGAAGGGGAAAAAATAAAGAAAAAGAGAAAAAGGTAGGCATGACACAGCAGGAAGGAAAAGGAAATTATTCTGGTGTCAGGTTTTTTCTATATATTGCAGAATGAGGGTAGAGCAGATTTTAATACCTTAGTTATGAGATTATTTTGTCTTGTTCAGGTAGCTGAGATGGTCAAACTATGACGTCTAAACTCAGATCCATGTCTTTACCTGGCAGGACTACTTCTTTCCTCTTGATAATTACACTGTTGCCTCATTTCTTTATTAATATCTTGTAGGAGTAAGCCTAGACCTTTCTATTAGTTATGAAACACACAGAAGTGCAGCAAAGCTAATTCTGCCTTTTTGATCTGGGCACCAATTGCTTGCCTTGCTCTCTGCTAATTTACCAAACTGTCAAGGCTATTCCTGACAAAACAGTGAAAAAACCTCCATTATTTATTTATTTATTTTTACATTTAATGGAAAATTTTCATCTCACACCTCGGAAGCCCTCTCCTGTTCTTTAAGGACAGGATGGGAAAAACTCTTATTGACTGTCCTTTCCCATTCACTGGTGCCTTGGTAAAGGCCGTCAGATTGGAGGGGCCAGAATGAGCTGACTGTCAGCCTCTGAGATAGGAAGGCCTCCATCTCCTGGCCCTCTGCCTGGTTGAGCACCAGTTGGTACTGGCCATTTTCTGTGGGAGCCAGTATGGAGGAGATGTGCCCCCTCACTAAGTACACATGTTCTCTGCCCTCCCACTCATCCTGCTTTTCTCCTGTTGCTCCATCAATTCATCTATGACTGACTCCTCTCCCCTCTACCACTGTCTTAGCTCTCTCCTCAGTTTCTCCTGGGGACCTACTCAGTGATTCCTCTCTATACATACATCTTCAGGCAGGTTCCTCCCTCTCTTTGCAATTCCAGCCTTTCAGGTGTCAGAATCTAACTTATTAGTGATTAAATGGCTAGGCACTTCTGAAAATAACCTAGGCTCTGAAAAACCCTGTGAAAAATCAAGACCTAAGAACTAGGTCTAATTTGCAGAGGAATTTTATGCTTTTGACTTTTCTAGAACTGAATATTTTTCTCAGATACCTTTCCTCCATGTACCCTCCCCAAGGATAAAGTTATGATGCAACATACGTTACTGGCACATCTTTGTACTGTGGCTGCTGAGGTGCACTACTTCCTTCCAGAGGCGTCTGGGTCACAGTTGGCATAGACTTGTTCACAAGGACTTGCTTATTTTCTACTTTTTCACCTTCAGAGAACAAGAAAAAAAGCACCATGAAAACATATCTGGCTACCTATGTTAGAAATACATTTTAAGCTTTAAGACAAAGGCAAGCTGGAAGACAAACTGGAAGGAACATGTCCAGGAAGTAGGCCATGTTATTTTATTAAATATTGCACGGTAAGGGAATCATTAAACTAACTTTCTTTTGTAAACCAAAACAGAATACCTTGCATGTTGGGTGCACTGTAAGAATAGCTATTCAACATACCCTGGGTCTAAAGAATACACAAAAGCATCTGAAGTCACCTGCTGTAAGTAAGGAGAAAATTAACAAGCAACACTGTAACTGACAAATTTTAGAAATTCACACTTAAATTCGATACATCACATCATTTCCACAATGAGTCGTGCAAGGCTAATTTCAGCCTCTTCTTGCAATTACTTTTTCCTATGGCTTCTGGTCTCATGCATCTGCTATTTTCCCCTCCATTCCCTTATCCTGCCCTTCACACAGCAAACCAGATCAGCAGCATGCCCAATGATACTAATGCACATCAAGTCCCTGCCTCCCACCTCCTCCACAAAATTACGCTGAACTTCAGCCTGTGTCTCTTTTCTGTCCAAATGAACTATTTCGAAGAAGTTTTTACCTACACACTGAGAACAGCCTCAGTCTGGAGTCCACCCCAGTCCTATCTATCCTAATTCTTCAGAAGATTCTTGCCTTTTTTTTAATTAACTTTGAAAGCTCCATTGTGATGTGCTAAACAGCAAAAGTGACCCATTTGTGTTGCTATAATGGAATTAAGTTTAGTGCCTTTTACAGCACCTTTCTTATTAGATCTCAGCAGATCTATTAAGCTTTTTCCTAATTGAAGGATGACAGTATGGGAGGATTCTTTCTCAAATTTATTTCCATTGGAAAGTTATACACCTATCCTCATAACTAAATGTAGTTGTATTTATTTTCTTATCTCTCTCTGAACATATTTCTAAAGTGTTAAAACCAGAAGGTTTTACTTCCTCAAACAATTGCATTAACTGACAGCAGGTTAGGAGGTTTTGATGTACAAAATAAAAATAATAAGGAATCTATCCTTAAAAAACAACAATGACAGAACATAGGAGAGACAAACAGTAAAAAACTACAGTATTAAAAGTTTGACAGTTTGGAGAGATAAGAAGAATACAAGTTCTAGTGCTTCAATAGATTCACACTGTTAAAGACTCACTCTTCTACTTAAACATAAAGCTCCATTTTCTCATGCACAAAAAAAACCCCAGTGACTGGTACCACGCTGCTTTCAGAAACTAACTTTTTAAAATTTTCCATTACAATACTGTCACCTTAAAGAAAAAAAATTAATTACACTAAGTATAAAACAAGGTGCACAAGACCTATTATCAGAACATCAATTTCTACCTCAGATTATGAACATCCCATGACTGAACATGTAGTTTACCATACCTGGAGAGCAGATACCATCAGCATCTAAAATTTCATGGCGCCAGATTGGTTTACGGGTAGCTGCATCCAACATCGGACCCATAACTTTATCAAATGTCTGGTTTGTGTAACGCTTCAGTGTACACTTGGCATTCTTATATACAAGACACCTTCCAAAACCTAAAATGTAACACAAACTCATCTGCCTAGGAGTTCAAAGATTCTTTATAACACATTTCAGAATAAAACAAGAATGCTGAACCACTTGCTGAGCTACAGAATATAAATTCTTTTTTTATTAGTTAGATTATTCATTGTCTTCCATATGCCTAACATTGTACATGCATACCTAGTAGCTCACAACTTAAAAATCAGATCATGCATGCTACTTTTTTTAAGACCTTGGACTATGGTCCAGTTCTGAAGTTGTGCTAATCCCCTTCTACACCTCTGCACACACAAGCACACATCATTTCTCTTACCTTTGGTGGTCCACAGGGAGATATAACATAGGAGAAGAGACTGTAACAGGATGAGAATCCTTCCAGGAGCTCTAAGAAACCTGAACTTATGTTTGTGGTTGACACAAGCTAGCCTACCAGGCAAGTACTGATTGAGTGTTTCATATAATCACCCCATTACTCACTTTTTTCCCAGCTGAAAGAATTCTGAATTACATATATTGTTATGAAATAGGTTTGTTTTGGGTTTTACATGAGAAAATTAGCATCTCTGGAATTTCTCTCCAAGTACAGCAACTAGTCACAAGTACAGCAACTAGTCACAATACTAAACACTTTCGTCACATTTAGAACTACAGACAGCCAAGAGCAAGGCTTTCTAATAATCCTACGTTATTTTAGTTCATTTGAAAGATGGTTGCGGCCACATACAGTAGATCTATATCTATAGATTATGTCAAGTAACTCCTGACAAGCACCACAGCTCTCCCTGTAAATGTCACCAGTCTACCAGAAAAGAAAACATTCAGTTTTAAATCATGCCTGTTGTTGTTTTAGAAAAGGAGGCATAAATTAAATGCGGCAGACATTAATGCCAAAGATACATGTCTAGCAATACTATTATTGCTGCCTAGCAACTAGGAGGAAGGGAGTGTGAGGGGGAATAAAGTCATGGAAGAATCTGATTTTGGCCACCCGAAACTAAAACCAATTTGATCACACTGCACTATGTCTTCTCTCAGGGGAATTTATTTAGAAAAGAGAGAGAAGAGAGACTAAGTTTTCAGGCAACTCTCCTCCAACCCCCAGCAGCATGAACACAAAGCACTGAAGAATTGTGGAGAGAGCAAGACAGGCCAGCCCGGCACAAACACAGGTTTCACTTAGTTACCTTCTATTTTGTGCTTATGTACTTTTGCTTAAAATACACTGCACTGCATAGATTTTTTGTTTGTTTGTTTTAAAGGAAGTGGGTCATTAGTTTATCTCTGAATAAACACTAAATTATTTTGCTAATAAACACTAAATTATTACTACTAGTTTCTCTCAGAAAGTAGGCAATACTGCTATTGCTCCCTCAGAGCATCAAGTTCACAATGACACAAACTACCACGCATTCCATTCCTTTCCCAAATACATTCAGAAGTCTAATTTCATGTATTGCTTTTGTTACTGGCGAAAATAATGAGACCCCTCTGTTAGTAATGAACAAATGTTCAGGTAACCATCTAAAAAGCAAGCCCAACAGAACAGATTATCTAATACCTTACATTTTTTGTAGACTAAATATTTTCAAAACGGGACCAATCACACTTTTTTATTTGAAGTCAAAAGTTAGCCATTTTTTCTTATAATATCCATACTTAGAAGTTTATTCACATGTTGGCAACTTCACTGCGCTATTGCAAGCATGGAATTACAATCACTATTCATGCAGAAAACAAAAGCATTCAAAGTTTTGGAATTCAATTTCTTAATTGGAGATGTACTGTTCATAACTGCAATGAGAGTTATTATAGGATAACACATGAGACAAGTTTATTAAGACATGTATAAGAAGATACACTAGAGAAATGGGAAAGAATTGATGATTCTTACCTCTGTCCAAAGAGGCCTTGTTTAAGACAAGAGCATCTTCGATATCGTAACCGCTGTAGCTCATCACAGCGACTGTGGCATTCTGTCCAGCAGGCAGTTTCTCAAAATCTATCAGTTCAATTGTTTTTGTTTTTACCATTGGCTTTTGCGGATAGGCTAGAAGATACATAAGAGTATCTATCCTGTTTCTTTGATTGTATCCAATAGTACCTGTATGTAAAAGAAAAACAAAAGTGTGTGAACATTAGCAAGTTTCCTAGAAATGTTTTGGCTAAAAAATTACCAAAATGCAAATTAACTAAAACCACAGACTGAGGAATTTCATCTAATAATAGAAATTCTTCAAGAAAAGAAGGGAAAAAAAAATCATAAAAGAGACCACACCAAAACAACTTTACATTACTATATTTAAATAAAGATGTAAGTGGCATCTTAAATTAAGTGTCCAAAAAGAATTATTTCTTTTTTCTTAAACAGGGAAAACCTAAATATCAAGACAAAAAGAACAACAACAAAAGAAATCAAAGTCAGGTCTTATATGACTGAATGCAAATAAGATTTCTTTTTTAATCATGGCACTGAATAAAACTGCAAGTATGAAGTTTGATTTTATTGTTCTAATAGCCATAGGTTTTTTTTGGAGAGCTGAACTTGTGTTCCATAGACCTGATCCAAAATTTCCTAAGAATCAATAGAAAGACTCCCATTGAGTTCAAGAGGAACTGTGGATCAAGCTCTGTGTCTTCCACATCATATTTCCTTCCTTTTCTGGGCAATAATTAGTTCAACAGCAGCCTGTGTTACAGTGTCACAAAGCACGAACAAAGCATATAGTTAACAGCAGCCAAGACTGATTTACTTTCTGAAATTAGAGGTGTCATTGCTAGAAAGACTACAGTAGAAGTTCACTCACAATATATTTGTCTTTTTACATGAAATTAATTTTAAATTTACGGTTCAGAATTCAATCCTTTGTATAGACCTCCCAGCTTGAGACTGAAATTTTTGGCCCTGTCCCATCAGACTGCCAAAGTGTCTTCTGAAATCTGAGGAAAAAATAATTAACACCCAGCAGGGAAACATAAACCGTTGTGTAGCAGAACAAAAGTTAAGGCAATCGTATGTTATTAGAGTTTGCTGTACAAGGACTATGCTATGTCTCTAACCAATTAAGAAATTACAGTCTGAAAAGTTAAGGTTTTAAAGTTTTAAGTGCTAAATATTCTGTAGTACTTGTGCTTAGGAGGTAAGTCTTTCAAAACTTTTCCATTTTCTCCTGCAATTTCAGAGGCTGGCTGCTTTCAAGGAAAGGTCAAAGCAGCCAGTGTATAATGAAGACTTCACATAGCCAGAATATAGTAAGCTGAACACAAATCTGCTCTTAGGGGAGGCCAGCTTCACGTTTTATATGCATCTACTTGCAATTTCCAAATGCCTGCTTTTAAATAAAATGTCTAGAAAATCAAATATCTAAAAACAGGCAGCACCATAGGCATTTCCAGAGATCTATCCCTGTCCTTGGCACTACGCTCTCTCGCCTAAACCACCACAGGTCTACCCTTTCCAAGGACGAGAATGGGGAGATAGCTCAACAGACACTGTCTGAAAATAAACTGTTATAACCAGCTCTTGCACATCTGGACTTTCCTTTGCTCTAGAAAGTGGATTTGAAGCCACGGGCACAGCATTTTCAAACAGCAAGGAAGATTTGGTAGAGTTGTCAAGCTTTACTTGTCTCTTGCTTTTAAGTAGTTGCTTTTCTGTCTTTTTCTTGGAGAAGGAAATTAATCATCCCTAAGCAGTATTTTCTGGCTCCAGTAAGAACCAAGCTGGTAGGGCCTGGATTCATCAACACTGAAGACCTTCCCAGTCACCCCCCGCAAGGCCCACCACCTGAAGGCCCTATTACCTCTGATATTATCTTAGCCTAAGTATTAGTCATCGTTTTCATTGTACTTTTGATTAAAAAAATGGTTTTCCCACTATACAGCTAGGAAAATCTACTTCCAAATTAAAAACTTAAGAGTTTTAGACCATTTTTTCCCTCTGTACCTAGAATGAATAATCTGTGTGGTTTCAGTATAGGTTGTCTGCTGTAGAGCTCATCTTAAAAGTTTCATGGACAGGTACATTTTCCTGTTGTTGAGAGGAATCTTCTCCTGAGTAAGTCACACCAACTTTCACTTTTGAAATACTTGCAATTTTTTTCTCCTCTGAGATGCCTATGTGCTGTACCTGCTATAGTTCACTGGTTAGGGATGCTAAGATGGGATGAAGTCTGAAGCACCTGATTATAGCTAAACTGGTCATTTATACCCCAGTAACAATCCAAGAAAGTCCCCTATACATCAACAATTACAGATGACACTTTTACATATTTCAGGTAGTGCACATTATTTCTCTCTCAGACACTTCACATATTTCAAAGTTGGCATTTTTATCAGAGGTTCAGATAAGCCTAACGGAACTGTTACTGTTTGTATCAGACCAGGAGCCATGAGTGACTGACATTACTGAGCTGCAGTAATAAACTGTATTCAGGCAATTCTTCAGGAGTTGAATGCTGTATCATATCAAATGGAAAACATATATATCAATGATGGATATCCTAGCTGGAAAGAAACTGGTTAGAGAATGATTCAAGAGCACAAATGAAATAAATTAGCCAAAAAGCATGCCATACATCAGCAATATTTGTCCTAATCGCTATGATTTAACGGTTATACAAATAATGCCTTCTCTAGACTGGTCTAACAAAGCACAGCCTTAAACCACAATCTGCTTATTTAAAATTAAGAAGCAGCTCTCTTCTTCTGAAGACTGGTGTGTTGGGACGAGACCTCTGTGTGGGCGTTGAAATGAAGGAAGTCACTAGCTTTATTTCTGTTTTCTCTCTGAAAGAACAGAGCCCTTGTTTGCTTCAGCCAAACAGCCAAGCAAAAGTAAAGTATAATTAAAGTTCACCACAACAAACCCTGTTCACAATGACCCACATTTATAATTATCCCAACAGCAAGAACCAATTTTTTTCATTGGTAATTAGCCCTGTTTAAAGCAAAACACACAAGGTTGACCTGGATACAACAAAGATCATTTTCTTGCTTTTCTCAGCGCTTGGTATATTGTGAATGCACGTGTGCATTCTTTCCTTTTTTCCATTTCCTGACAAGCTTGGTTTTTTTTTCTTTTAAAGTATCATTTGATCATTCTTCAGTGTGAAGTAATCACTATAAAAATGCTATCTATTGATATTTAGCATAAATGGGATATTTTTATTCTGATGCAGAAAGTTTTGAGAACTCACCAGCACAAACAGCCAGCTAAAATAAGCATTTATCCAATTCTCTGGTGTATTACGTACAGCAACATTAAACTGTACAATCAAAATTAACAAGGATACAGAAATCAATCTACTTAAGATATGAGCCAAAAGGGCTATTATTGCACATGCCAAGAAAAGAATTGCCGTACTTCTGTATTTCCCCTGATTTCACCATGGATTTTCTACTATCTGTCCTCTTATATGAGCACAAACCAACAGAGAAAGGAATAGTTTTTAAATGCTGCACCGAACGTTGTGGAGAGGGTTCCAACTCAGCTGGGAGAGATTTTCACAGTACATGTGCTAAGTGATCTGGATGTTCAGCATTTGAAATACTCTTTTCACCATAGAAAGATTAAGAAGTCAGTTAAAAAGATTATGGGTAAACTGGGGGAAGTAGTCTGGCTCACTTCTGTCTCAGCACTTCTGTGCCTGCTACCAGGGAGAGAAGAGCTGGCAAAACCAGACCGTGTCGAGAGCACAAACGCTGCTCCTCAAAGAGCAGTGGCAGAGCTGAGCCCTGGCCACAAAGCACCCAGGTCCAGCTGTGATGACCAGCAGCAGCCGGTTTTGCTTTGATGTTTGTTTCGATTCTCTGCCAATAGGCTAGCTGTACAAAATTTGGGAGCACTTTAGCTCTCGGCCCACTAACAAGCCTTTCACAACTGTCAAAACCCAACAACCCCCAGAACTCGGTTCCTTGAAGCACACTTGTCTTCTCAGCTCAATTTTAACACGTTCAGCTAGTTATAGCACAAGGCAAACCAGTATATAAAGGGCTTTGCTATTTCACAGAAGCAAAGCAGAATGTACATGATATGCAGTTAGAGGGTTTTTTGTAATATCAAAGAAATTGCTTCAGCATAAACCTCTGCACAAAGCTCTTGCCCACCTACCACCCTCCCTTCAAATACTTTCTGCTCTTTCACAGGCTAAAGTAATAAATAACACCCAAACCCTCCTTTCCTTACTCAAGACTTGCATTATGACGTTTGGGTTGAAACTGCAGTGCACAGTTGGGCTGTGAGAGCGTACAGCTTGCTTTGTGTACCCACACTGCCACTTTCACAGATGCGCATGTGCATGTGCAATATGGTGGATTACTGGCAGGAAGATGTGTATGTTTTCATTTCTTACATTAGGCTTTTATACAATGCTTCACAGTCACAGAGGTACAGTGTGTAAAACTGACTGATTTTCTACATCTTAATGGAAGTGAAAAGCTCCATTTAAGATTATTTCTCTAATTGTAGGAGCCTCTGATCCTCCTAAACATTATTTTAGCAACATATGGAACGCAAACAGTCCAGACTCTTGTATACTCTCAAATACTTCTCAGATTTTAAGCTACAACTGTTAACTTTGCACTGAAATGTCAACGTTCAACTGAGGTCCTTGCAGCTGCTGTTGTATTTGCCACCTAATCATAACTTCCCCTCAGTCTTACAGTTCAACCTGCAACATACGGTAAATTATCTATGCCAAAACAAAGGGATTTCATTTCAATTTCATTTCACTGAAATCCAGTTTGCTCACTAAGCACAGCCCTAGTTCTCCAACAAGATTACTCATTCTGCCCATGAAAGAGAGGTATTTTTCAGGAGATTTAATGTTATCCTGCAGAAACATTAATATTTTAATACCTAACACTTGTCAGGGATACTGGATTACAGACCCCATTGCAAGCTCTGATGTCCACCCTCCATTTACTTGTGCCTTCACACCTTTCCCTAGCTTGTTGTTACTTAAAAAAAGAGCAAGGACTGTCCAAAGCTGCTGGCACAGCCCTGTGATGTGGTCAGCGGGGGTCAGTGTTGAGTAGCACAAGGCTCTCCTTTCCCAGTCCGAGTCCTGGGGCTCCCTCGATGCCCCCAGGATTTGACAGCCGAGGGAGTGACACAGTGGACTTGGACATGAGACTTTCCACATGGCAGCGTTGGGCCAGGAGCTGCTCTGCAATTTCAGGGTGGGGAAAGCAAGCAAGAAGAGTGGATGGTTACTTAAAGGTGGAGGTTTGGAGCACTACATCACATCTCTTCATAAATACAAACAGAAAAAAGTATGTGTATTGTTTCAGAAATATCCTCTAGGTCTCATTTGATCAATAAGCATAGAGAAAAATCTTTTCTGCCCCTACATATTGCCACTTACAGGGGCTTTTTTTTAAGCAGTTATTACAAAAAGCTTCAGGTGTTTGCAGATACTTCAGGCAGAGCAAAATATAGCTCAGGTCATGTGCCAACTTTTAAAATATACTTTTATCTAGCTGCTTATTCTTTGAGTCAGGTGTTTTGTCATAACAAACCGAAACAAAGGCTTTTTTTATTGCTGAAGATATTCAATGGCTTTTGTGTTCCTAGCGCCAGCAGGAACGTCAGAGGATTGTATCCAAGGAGCTAAATGTGCAAGACCTAGGGTCAAAGCAGCTGAATACACCAACCTCAGAAAACACAGACAATGAATTGCAAATGACACTCAAAACAAAACGGGAAAAAAACCTTCACACAGAAAACTACAAAAGAACTCCACAGATACTGAATTGGCTTTCTGTACATACTGATCCTGCTTAACTGTGTGTGGTAACTAACCAAACCTTCTGAGACTAATAGTCATAAAATAGAGACTTGGGGGTGGGGGAAAGATAATGGCATGGGGGAGAACTGTAAGGAAAAAGATTGCATTGCTCCTCTTTTTTTTTTTTTCCTTTTTTTTTAAAATTTAAAGGGAGGTCATGCATCTGTTGCTATTTTCTGCTATGTTGATGCTCTGAACATGACAGTTCAGCACCAGGCAGTTACTTTGCTATTAATTCTGCTGGAGAAGTCTCACAAAAGGTGCAGTGTTTCAGTTTCGAACAGACAGCACAAAACAAATGGTTTAGTAAACCTAACAGAAGTGGTAGTTTTTTCATGACACAGAGTTGTTCTACTGTAGCTCTCAGCTTGCGAGCAAGTCATCAATACAAGACATAAAACTGGCACGTACAGCACGCCTGAATACAACTGTCTGAACTGATGTACTACTGGTCAGGTTCTTCTTGGGACTCACTCTGGCTTGATCACAGGCCATATGACTTGGATTTAATGCTAGTTCAGCTGTGTATTAAAGGAAGGATTAGAACTTACCTAGTGTTAATTGCCCACAACAGCAAACTCACAAAATGGTTGTTTTTTAATGACCAGCTATCACATTTGTAAAAATAATTATTAAGTGATGAGGAAATTAATTTTGTTTCAGTCGTTTTGCTGAGAAGCCGTTACTTGCCCTCTTCATCCAAAACAGAAAAAGCCCAAAATCTAAACTATGGCTTCAGGAAGTGTTCAAGTAACTAAGCACTCTCTTTCACATTTTGATTCCTCTTATTTTCTAATGTCAATGTAACTATTTATTTATATATTTTGAGGGCACCTACTCAACTATTCAGGGAAATTCTCCTCTCTCCATGCTCTGTCTCTCTTTGTGAGAATACCTTTTAAGTCTTTTTGTCTGGAAACCCACAGCACATTTCAGCATAAAGAGGAAAAAAAAACCACTCTGCCAATCCTGCAGCTATGCTGAAAACTTGAAAGTCATGACGATTATCAAAAAAAATCCAACAGAAAAGCAATAGTTCCCAGTTTCTCCAATTTTTCTTTTAGGTATTAAGACCTACAGATATGGTCTCCATTAAGTAAAACTGACTGGTATTTTTTTTCCTTTTAATTTTTCCAACTTTCAGAGGTAAATTCTTTTTTCCTCAGAGCTGAAGAAGTGCTCTTTTCCTCTTCCTAGCAAAGCTTTTATGTGAACTAGGAAAGAAAGAATTTCTCTGCTTTGCCACTTGTGCTACCTAGTTTCAAAAACTACATAACACTACAAAAAGGAATAAAAAAAGTCTTACCCATTGCTTGTTTCCCCATGGCACACTGATAAGTGTTTCTTGGGGACTGGTTGTGGTGAGGATATGGAATCAGCCCAGCACAGACACCAAGAAGCGTGAAAGGCTCGATCTCCAAATGTGTTGTATCTCTTAAAAGAAAGAGTATCAATTATAGCAGCCTTGTGAACAAACATATTAACTAGAATTTATTTAATTTAGTAGCATCTCATAATACTTCAATTCAATTCTGTTCAGGAAAATGTAAGTCAGTAGGACCTCAAAATATGGATTCACTATGAGATTTTTATTTTCTATGTCTGTTTTTTTTTTTTTTAAAAAAACAACTTAATTTTGGCTTTAAGTGTTTCCACATGAAAAGAAATGAAGGAGAAATAAATGAGGGTTTATGAATTTCCATCATGGAGAAAAAGCCTCCAGATAATGACAACTGGAGGGAGCTCAGTAAGACAATAAAACATCAGTTTATAGAGTAAGACCCAAAATGCCTTAAGGAATGTCTTCTCATGTAATGAGAGTCCTCTGCATCAAATTACCAATCTCAGAGATCTAGAAATCAGCTGGGGAGATAGAGTAAGGAAGAGCAAGACAGATTCAGGTATTGAAAAAAATAAAAGTGTCATTTTAGTTTTCCAAGTTATCCAAATTATATAATATCAGTTAGAGGGAAAACATCTGTGTCCAAACCAGATGCAGTGCCATGGGTGATATGGTGTAATAAAAACCTATTTGAAAAGCTCTGCAGATACTTTGGAAGTGATTGTGGTGTTAAAAGTACTTATGAGAAGTAAAAAGACAGGGACAAGGGGTAAAGACTGAGAGAACAAAATTTGTTCTACCTGGTATAAGCTTCAGAGGAGAAAGTCCATGCTCAATAAAGACAATTAAATCATAGCGTGCATTGGGATGCAAGTGGAGTGACTAATAACTAAGGACGGAGTGTACAATAAAGCTTGGCTGGAGCAGATCTGCTTTGTAAAATCAAGATAAGTAACTAGGAAATGGGGAATTCTGAAATAAAGATAACTAAACCTATCCAAAGCATATCTTTCACAATGTTCTAGAGTTACTACACAGAGCTTGGGTTTATGCATACATTGCTTCTCCCACACACCTAAACCCACTGCATTCAGAAAATCCCATCTTTAATGTTTGACTTCTCTTAGAAGTCTTTTGGAAGACTTTTTTTTAAAGTTGTTAAACAAATTAATTTGATTACTAAACTTTAAGACCTTGCAAAGGAAGTGACTGGAAAAATCTTTATTATGACAACACTCAAAAGATGACACAGCATCACGAGCTCAAAAAGGCTTAGGAATTACACACAAGTACATACAGACTGAAGACAAGGACCAGCACGAACTTACATAAACAATGTATGTACTACTGGAAAAAATGAAATCTGAAGCCTGAAAAAAAAACTGGAAACCCTGAGGAGCAAGCCTAGTGAAATTATCTATCAGTCCCAGAAATCTTTATAAATCACAAATATGCCTGAGCAACCTAAAAATCACCTGCTGGCCAGAGGATAGCCACTATTTTTCTCCACTTGATAAAGAGCAGCTATGTTAATTGAAGCCTGTCTTAAGAAAATATGAATGGTAGAATCCAAGTTGCAGTCAAGCAATCGCAAAATGGTCTCAAGACTCAGTAGCAAACTTAAAGCAGACTGCTCCCCCATTCTGTAGAACTTCACAGAACTACTGACACTTCTCAAACAATAAAACAAGAGGCTTAAGACTTACTGATAGTGAAGTTAGCAAATTTCTTCAGAAGGTACTAGTGCATGGAACTACATGTACATTTTCATATAGGATATTCAACACAAGTATTTTTCTATTGAGGTCAATCCTATTTCAACCAAAGAAGATGCAACATATACACATCCTAGTATCTTATGAAGTACTCCACAGTGCTAATGAGAGACCTTCAAACTTTACAGAGCAGTTCAATTTCTGCAAGTCAAAATGTCACTGCCAGAAATGGGCCCAAGAAAGGAAGGCAACCTCGTGAGTTTGGAAATCAGAGTTACAAATGGGTAAGGAAGAAATTGAATGTATTAAATAGAGTCAAATCCTCCAAAGAAAAAACTCCTAATTGGATTGGAAAGGTAAAGAGAGGATACTGTAGCTAAAAAAAGCCTACATTACAAAAGCAGGAACGTTAATGGGATACTTCACAATAGTGGATTGTATCAGTTGTATTACCAGAACAAGTTGTACCAACATGGTTGTACCATTTAAAATGCAAGATGATCAGCTGGGGGAAGGGAGTACACAAATCAACTATTCAGGATGTAGGGAATATCTTTACTAAACACAAGGAGCAATGCACTCATACAGTGCAAGCTCAGATACTTACGCCACTACTAGCTACAAGCGTTGAAGCTAAACTCAAAACAAGTTGATGGACAACACAAGAATCTCCCAAACTTTTTGGCAGTTACCGTGGAGTCATTTCCTCACATTAGCCCATTGGAAGTTCACTGTCTCCTCCTATTTTTGACTAAGCAGTGATTTCATGTGATACGCTCCCATTAATCTTCCTCGCTGAGTCAGGTGTCCTGTAACAAACTTTTCAGCTCTGGTGCTTTGTGGAAGTTACTTAATTTTGGCACAAATGACAGCAATTATGTGTGCTCTTCATTGCTCATGTATACAGAAGCCAGCCAAGAGCATGCAAGAGTAATTTTTTAAAGTGGTAACGTCTTCAAAAGCCTGGGCAGGAGCAATACAATTTAATTAGCAGAGTTAATGCATTTCATCTGGCAAAGGTTAAAGATAACCGAAGGTCTCATCCAGCTCCACTGAAATCAATGATGTATTTCTACTGGCTTCCATGAGTACTTGACCAGGACAGAACATTTAGAAAATGCATTTTCTGCATAAATCTACTGATCAAACATTTCATGGAGATAACATCTTATATGCAGCCTTCAGTTGACAGGATATTGACAGAGAAACATTAAAAAAAAGTAAGAAGATAGGAGGACTTAAAAATTTAAAAGAATCCTTCCTTTAATGTGGGCTCTTTAATAATGGTCACAAGACAGAGGAAAAAAAAAGCACCAGGTCCTTCATGTATGTAGAAAACACAATAAATCTGGAAATCTTTCTAAATGAAAAACACATACCAGGAATGGGTTTAACATATGTGGTAAAGAATACACAGAATGATACAGGCATTTTTATCAGGGCCTATTATACATCCAAAAGTCAAAGGGAAGGTCTCATTCCAATACTTCAGACATTTAGTGTAAGGTGGCTGTCTACAGCTGTAAGAGAGGTATTTTTCCAAATCACAATCATGACATGCTAAGATCATCATTTAACACGTGGAACCATTTGCCTTCTGGATTCCTGTTGTATAAAATTACTTATGATGAGTAGCCCAATGACAGAATAAAAAAAGGCACATCCAGAAAAACAAAGGATATACCTGTAAGTATGTAATATTTTTGAGAGTTAGAAGCAGGAACAGATCTCCCAAAACCCAAAAGCTAAACCATTTTTTCTAACTATCCCATGGATAATTTAGGATGTGTGTAAACATTCCTTTCTTTAGCTTTCATCTGGATTTGTTTCAACCATTAGCAAGGGAGCAGTGTTTATGTGTGAAAACAGTAGCATTATTAATATGCTTGCATTTCAGAGAGTCACCCTATGAAAGTTTTTCCTGCACCAGTGTTTAGTCTGAATGCATACTTACTTATTAATTGTATGTTCATACAGTGCAATGTTACAGTCATTTTCTTCATTCACATCCAAATATTCAACAAGGCCTTCGTGCAAGAAGTCTTCAAAATTCCTACAGTTAAATTAAAAAATTACGCTAGAAGTACTGTCTGATATTTCTGCAGAAATAAAACTACATAATACATATATTGAAGGAATGTAATGTGTAGAAGTTAAACTAGAGAAATACTTTTACATGAAAAGTTCTGTGCCTTTTACGTATTTAAAGAAAATTTTTTTTAAAAAAATTAATCCCCTTGCCCATTCACTGCTTCACACAGTCTGACTGACCAAAGTTACTTATTTGAACAACTAAATAAAACCTTCCTGTATGTACTCATCATCACTATAAATGTAGGCAAATATAAGGGTAATCTACTAAGTTTTTGTGATGGTTTTGCAAAATTTAGTTAAAGCTAAATTTAAATGATTTTGTGTGAGCGTGTTTTTTTTTAAACACCCAAACTAAGAATGTACAAGGAGTTTCAAAACTAATTCTGAATGTGCTTAGTTTAGGGTGGTCAAGTTGATATTCCTTTGAACTGTCTGATTTTTCTATCAGGAGAAGGACAATACTACCTCAAGGCCTTCCACTTGCAGAAAGATGAGGCTGTGAAATGTATTTATTCTGTATAATCACCATATTTCATAGCAGTAACAAAATAAGACCAGACTTAATTTGACTTTAAACAGAAAACCTCCAGTACACTGATTATTAATTTATATAGGAGAATAGACTTCTCCTCTATATAGCTAACCCCAAGACTGTGAAATACTGACTGACTGAAGTATTTCCACACAGTATTTACTTAGTGAAGATGAATATGATCTGCTTGAATTGTGTACCTGTATCCCTGAGCCAGTTCTTCCATATGCTTGTTTGTAACCGCAGGTTTTTGCTTCTTGACAATTATGTAGGGTCTACAATTTTTAAAAAAAAAAAAAAAGAAAAAAGAAAAAAGGATTCTCATAGCAAACACTTAGGCAGATAACTTAATTTATACTTACAGTAAGAACGCTGCCTATGCAAAACCTATTTTATAAGCCACTTTTAAAATTTATCCACCTATCCATCTTTAACTGATATAGCCACATAAATACAATCAGTAATTATTCAGACCTTGGTCTGATACACAGGTAACCTGAACTGACATACTGTTCATGAAGTACCCAAAAAGTGTGTAAGAAAAATTAAGATTTCAAGTTTGAGGAAGAAACCTTCCCTCCCATCCCCCACCCCAAATCTTTAAGCTAACATTTTATAAGTTTTACCTACACATCTTGTTGATGGGCTTTAAAAGAGCTAAGATTTCCTAATCTATAAAGCTAAGAACACTATTAAGTGCTATGGATATTGCAGGGACTTCATACAACACTGAGTGAACAGCCTGTGCTCAAGTGTCCACATGCAAGAATATATTTTGCTATTACTTAGATGATGTAAAGTACAGGCATTTACTGTGGCTGACCTCAGATGAATCCATAAATTTCACAGCACATGTATCTCTGAAGGCTTCCTTACCGCGAGAAAACACTGACACAAAGGATGGCATGCAAGAATGAAACATCAAGGGCTGTTGCTATTTGGACAAGTTGCTCTTATAAAGAGCAGCAAATAGCTACAAGATACTTGTGGACTCCACTCTGAAGTCTAAATAACTGTTCGAAGACTAATGAGCACTTTTAAATTGTTAATAGGGGTATCTGAACAATTGCAGGGTGTGGAGTGCCACAAAGCAAACTTGGTAAACTCCTGGAAAACCACATGATTTCACTTGCCTTTATTTTACAAATCAGAAGTTTTGCTGCATCTCCAAACCTGCAGAATGGCTGATGCTAGCCCTGACTGGAAAAGTGATTTCTCTGCCACTGAAAATGCCCCTACTCTGGATCTCTTGACCAGGTATGATTAACTGATGTTATGTACATGTACTATATTGGAGCCTCTACCGTGCCTCAAACTGCATTCAACATGCTCTGAGATTCAATTAATGAAGTGGAATGCCAACTGTAGTTGTGACTGCTGCTTCTTTAAAGTCACAAAATTGCACACAGCTAGTCAATGCCAAGATACGCATATATTTATTAACTCATTCTCCCTCTCCCAATCTCTGTTTTGTTCATCTTTCATGCCTTGTTCTTTAGGCTAATTACTTGGACCTGGAGATGTTTTACTTGTAAATAAGCTAGCTGCCATAACCTGACTGGAGTCCCTAGCCTCTACTATAAATCAACCTGATTTTCTGTCTCAAAATATTGTTATGTTCCACTCTTTCTCATTTTAGCCACCCAATTCCTTTTTGCTTTCCTCTGTGACATGCCTGTTATTCAGGCATTTTGTCTAATAAAGAACATAAGCATCTCAAGGTGGAGACCTTCCTTATACGTTTATTGAATTCCCTACCTACTTAAGGGTAAGCAATGAAATAAACCAAAGTTGTTAGACATACTTCTTGGTATTATAGCAAACGGGTATACATGCTTGAGGAAGTTCTGCACCAGAAGTAAAGGCCCTTGAAGACAAAGGGTAGTTTCTCATTCTAAAATGTGATACCACACCCATGGGATATCAGGCAAGTAGCTGCTTGTTTTTCGCTTCACAAGAAGTAATAAACCCCTCCAAGGACATTGGACATTAGTAG